TTTTGTGGGATGGGGCTAGGGATAGAATCTAGGACCTCCAGCCAACCACTTCTTACTGGATCGTTTAGAGGGTTCATTGAGTTGTGTGCATGAGTGGCCAGTGAATGCTAAGGGATTCTGGTATCATTTCAGTCCCGGTCTCCTGTTAGCCTGGCTCGAGGGCAGTCCCCACTAAGGCCTGGAGGCAGGACGCTTTCTCATAATGAGCCAGAGGCAGGAGAGACCACAGTAATGACTCAGAGTCAGCTACTTGGAGAGACCCTGGCACCTAGAAAGGCTGGTTCTGCCCACTTCACTGACCCAGCCCTTTGCTCTTTGCAGCAGGTCAGGTGCGTTGGCTAGGGAAGGTACAGGTCTTTTCTCCACTGGCTGCTGGGATCTGAGACTCTCTTGACCGTTTGTACCTGGCTCTTGTCCCTCCCAGCCTTGAGATGCTTCAGTCACCTGCCCAGAAACTGGGGCTGCCCTGCAGGGAGGGGAAGGGGGCAAAGGACTTACTGCCCAGCCCACTCTCCAGGAGCCCAGTAGGAACCCAAAAGGGGCAGGACAGGGCCCTGGGCAGGCAGCTCAGCAGGTGAGAAGATGCATGAGCTCTTAAAGACTTCCGGAGGGAACTGTCTGGAATCCCTCTGTGGCGGCTGCCTGGGCCTGCAAGACAGGATCTCCCCTCTTCCCTCTTGTGCTCATGCCCTGCTCCAGAGAGACGTCCTGCTGGGACCTCGGGTGTGTGTGTGGGGTCCTGTTCCAGACCACCACGTGGCTGCTGCCCAGTGAGCCCTGTGGGTCAGGTGCAAGGCCTCGCTCAGGCCCACGCCCATCATCTCCAGCCCTGGCTGCCCATTAGGACCCCACAGGGGTAAAACAACCACAGGCCACTGGTGTCCATTCAGCGGGGCTGCAGTGAAACCCCCCACACTATCCTTACACACCCAGGCGATTTCCAGGATCATCTATGCCTGGGAATGCTGTCCTAGCCCTCAGCCTGCCTGATGTGGGATACCCCCACCCCCCGCCGCGCTGCTGCTGGAGAGGAATGAGCTAGGGAGACGGCGCAGGGATCTCCTCAGTTTCCCCTTCTCTGACTTTAAAAAACACCTGCCCTACCCACATAAGTCCCCTTGCCAATCTAAATGGTTGGGAAAATTTCAGAATGGTTTCAGAGAAAAAATTTTCTGGCTGCCTACAAGGAGCTCATGTGTGTGTGTGTGTGTGTGTGTGTGTGTGTGTATTTAAACGGATGGCCCCAGAGCTGGGGATTAGGACCTCCAGGACTTGTAGACTAAGTTCATTTGTTTTCTTTCTTTCTAAAAGCCAAGTGGCTTGGACCAGGGACCCTAAGCCATTCAGGCTGCCGAGAAGATACTGAGCAGGGTGGAGAGCCACTTTCTTTCTCCCTCCTACCCACTTGAGCTGGAAAGACCAAAGACACCCTGCAGCTCCTGCTGTAGTTCATCCACTCCCTCCCCGCTTGGCCTGGACTTCGAACACATGATTTACTTCTGGCTCTGATCTCTCAGTGGGAAGACACACTTTCTCTTTGCTCTTACAGCTGGCGAGGTGGTAAGAGACAAGACAGCGTGTGCGCGCGCATGTGTGTGCGTGTGTGCAGTAACGTGTGACAGTGCGCGAAAGGTGCAGGGAAGTGCGTGCTGGTGTCCGGTTACCACGGCAACACCTGATCTGTGGAAATTCTGTGTGCAGCACGGCTCCCCAAGCTACAGCAAACCTCTGCACCAGGAAAGTTTAACTTCAGCAGTGAGCGAGAAGATGGGTGCGGGGGGATGGAGAGAGCAAGAGGGAGAGGGTGTAGGGGAGAAAACGAGGGAGATCCACTCGGGCTCCTTGGAAAGGAAGCCAGGGTGGAGGACGGGAGGAGTGAGACTGGGCCACGGCTAGGTTGGGCAGAGCTGAGGAGACTGGCTGGGGAAGGGGTCTCCCAGGTCTCCCGCTTCCGCCCGCTGCCGGGCTTACCTGAGCACACCTGCCTCTCCTCTGGGCTCCGGTGTCTTCCTCGTCCTCCCACCCTTTCGGTGCGGCTGTGGCAGCAGAGAGCCAGCCAGAAGTTCTGATCT